CCACACCTGGACCCTACCTATCGACTCATCAAACTCATGAACCGGGGACCAACGGCTTTACTTCCCTTCCGAAGGAAGACGTGATCAGAGATGTGATGATGATGATGGTCCCACCTCTTACCCCTACAAAAGTTTGAGCTGGACGATTTATCTTTAAGATAATTGAATATGACATTTTAACCAGGTTGGCAAACAAAATCGAACTGGTTTCAGTTACAGATATAAATTCCCTCTAAAGTTTACAGTTGCTTCACAGCGATATAAATGTGGAAAAGCTCTTAGTTCGCCTTTTTGTCCACCTAAAATATTCATAAGTATTACAAGCAATCAAGAGTTAATGAACAATCAACAAAGCATCCTATTACACTAGCAACCCCGCAATCTGATGCTATCATAATTTTCAGCAATGTCAGGAATGCTCACGAACCCCCAACATTTGCCAGAAAACTTACTACTAACTCAAGGTATCTTTCAAATAAGCTTCAAAATTGCATTTTTTTTTTATCAAATGTTAAATTCAGTCCTCTATTTATATCCGTAATACGCGCGCGAGGCTCAAACCTACTTTTTTTTTTAATCTACTATAAAATCAAATATTAATCAAATATTAAAAATCCATCATCACCCTTGTGGCGAACAGAAATAGTTTTTGCAGTGCTACAATAATTATTAAAAAGTCGTTATGACAGCTATCCATATAAAATAATCCGTTAGAGATAACTTCGTCAAGATACATAATTTGTCAATTCATAAAAAAATCACTGGATAACTGTTCAAAAGACAGTTTTAACGTGTGAAATGCAATGTCTTTTACATTCTGTAAGTGTTGCTGAACGTTTGATATGTCTAGGCATCGAACTGAAAACATTTATTCCTTTATAATATAATGAATTTTGTGAAGCACAAGTCAAGAAATGTGGTGTTCTTATTTCAACCGCGTTTCTAGTATTATATCTATGAAAGTCACTTCCTCTTTCAATTCGATCACACAAATATCGAGGCAGTAAACCGTTAACTACTTTAAAAATGAACACCATAGTCAAATATACAATTCTTTGCTTCACCGACAACCATTGTAAGGCGTCTAGCATCAAAGTTGAGGAAGTGAATCTATTACATCTCAAAATCAAACGCATTATTATATTCTGCAAGCGCTGTAATCTCGATATTTGTGTTGCATTGGCCAGAAATAAAATGGAAGGGCAAAAGTCAAGATGAGGAGAGATGATTGATTTGTATAGCTGTATTTTACTGGCAATAGTTAAATCGTTTTTCAGTCGACATAGAATTCCATACTTCTTGGCATTGTCAATGTCAGAGTTGAACTTAAGTGTGTCATCAAAAATCACGCCAAGATATTTAATCTCCCGAACGCGATCAATAGTCTCATCATCAATTACAACAGAGACGTTCTCATTTACTCGATTCCACGAAATTACCATGAATTTAGTTTAACTTGTATTCAATTTTAACTGCTTATACTTCAACCATCTACTTAGAGAACGCAAATCTTCATTCAAGTGTAAAACGCCATCATCTAAATCCTTAGCAGCAATGAAAAACACAGTATCATTTGCAAAAAGATTAATGTCGCAAAATCGTAAAACACGTCGCAAGTCATTAATATACATAATAAATAACAGGGGCCCTAATACACTTCCCTGGGGCACTCCAAGGGTATTCCCCACGGGACTGGAAACAGAATCATTAAAAACAGTCCGTTGAGTTCTGTCAGACAAATAGCTTTCAAACCATTTATATGCAGTACTCGTAATTCCAAAGCGCTTGATTGATCTTAACAATAATGGCCTAGAAATTGTTTCAAAAGCGCGTTTAAGATCCAAAAAAAAACAGCAACAATCGTATCTTTACACTCCAAGTTATTTTTCCACTTCGCTAATACCAAATTCAACGCAGTTTCACAAGAATGACCTTCCCGATATCCCGATTGTTCTGGTATCAACAAACTATTACTATTTAAATACTCCAACAGCTTCGAGCATGCATTACAAGTATGTGTTAAAAAGTGCAAGTTGGTCGCTATGATTTACAAATATTTTCTGCTATTCCCCATATAACTGTTCGTATTGCTACTGCGAAGATAGAAAAATAATAATGATGTGTAAAAGTTGGCGAAATATATAAATAACCTCAACTCGAACAAAAACGTCCTGCAAAGGCTTGAGCATTGTCACGGGGTACCAGATCTTTATTGCCAAACCATAAATATAGTTACTATAGGTTCAAGGTGTGGATGGCAATCGATGCTCGGTAGAATACATAAATACTCAACTGCTCAAGTTTAAAATAGGGTTGTTTACCGTTAATTTAGCTACTGTTCGTATTTTTTATTTTAAAATCAAATCTTAAAAAGTCTTAAGCATCCAAATGTGCTATGTCAATTGGATCTGTTTTGCTTCGAAATTAAGAAGCCCACGAACCCATTGCCGACCTGATTATCGGCATTCTACATTTGATTTTGAAATGAAAATAAGAATTGTAGCGCAATTACCGGTAACAAGTCTAGTTAAAAACGACGGAAAATTCTTCCAAAATTGTTGAAGTCAAATTTAAACGTTCCGCCAAATGAAATTCCGTGTAATCCGTTATTTTTCGAGCAATAAATGTAGGTCGTTGCTCTTTTTGAAATATGTGTTCCTTGTTTGTCCCAAAAGAGGGCTGTTTTCAAAACGGAGTAGAGCTTTGTGGATCTCTTGAGGTGCATTTCTTTCCTTTCCAACAATAGAACTCGTAACACAGTAGATACATTTCTGATTCTGCGTTTTTTTATTTCATTCATTTTTTTTCTTTTACACAATTTCTAACGGTTTTTTCCTTACTGTGGTTGTATGTATACTCTTAATAATTAATTAGGTAATTATAGTTTATACTTTTTTCAATTACTTGTTTTTTTTTCTTCATTATCATTAGGTCTTACAAATTACATTAATCATTTTTCATCTCCTCGTCATTTTACCTCCTATTGTGTTGTAACCTTCGCGGAGCGCGTGGTTATTTACTTGAGAAACGGCAGTGTTGTTGTTATAATGGTTGTTTTGGGCTAAATTTACACATTTTTATATTTTCTAGATAACACGTTTTCGCACGCTGCGTAATGAAATGGTTTCGGTGAAAATATGTATGTGGTTGTGTACGTATGCGCGTGAACGATGGGAACGCGAATAAGTGAAAGTTAAAAACAAACAAGAAAAAAAAAACGATGACGATGATGATGGCAACAATATTGTTTCAATGAAGATGATTGATTTTCCCACGTGCCTCTTTTTTTATTTGACGAAGAAAAAAGGATGATGGGGAAAAATGTAACTCATATGTTGTGAATCAAAAACAAAACAATAGCAGTCAACAAACTTAGAACTAGTGTTCGCGTTGCGGTTGAATCTTTTTCGCTTTTTTTTTCTGAGTGCAAGTGGCAGTTTGCGTTTTATTTGGTTTGCTTTTGTTTCTGTTTGTAGTACGGTATGTTCACTAACTATCGCCTTATTGTATTGTTGTAGTAATAGGAATAATACAGTGTGAGTGTTGTGTACTGTGTAAGTCCTGCTCGTCGAATGAGCGTGTAACGAAATGGGTTTTGTCGGTAAAGGTTATGCAGTGTTGATTACATTAGTTTAAAGGTAGTTGTCTGGCAGTTTGTGTTATGAATTCGACCGGGGTGTGCTAGTGAACTGAATACAAGTCTTTACTCATATGTGAGGTTCATGAGTGACGGACAATTCTGTGGGAGACGGTGGAACGGTGATACATTGTTTGCCTGAATGACACTGAAATCCTTCTACTTGGTCGCTAATGAGGAATCTAGTTAAAAAATTCTCAATGGTTATTTTTATGATCTTCTGGTAACTTTGAACCACCTCTGCTTTAGTAATATATAAAACTACCTATACTTATGAGTGTATTAAATCGTAGATTAATCTTACAAAGAAATTTTTTCGAGCTTAAATTTAATAGCTAAGTATGAAATTTTGAGTGTATCACCGTTAGGTCCCATGGAAGTTGCTGTTAGTAGGAATAGATTCGAAAGAAACAGTTCAATCATTCAACCTAATCACACGCATCTCCCCTTTCCTGTCAGCTCGCGGGGGACTACAAAAAAAAAGTAGTTCAATTTATGACAAATCTAGCAACAAAAGTGTTTGTAGCTCATTGAAAATGAAAAAAAAAAACGGATAAATCTTTTGACTACTACGCAAGAGAAGTATGTGCTTCACTATTTCACTGACACTTGTTCTGTTTTGCGATTGTTTTAACAACTGGTATACAATTAACGGCTATTTCGTTTGCTGTTGTGTTTCTGTTTTCCATTTATTTTTTTTTATTTTTTGTTGTTGCAATATTACATATGAATGGTTTATTTTCTTTTAACATGTATTTCCTTCTGTTTATTTGCTTAGCATGTGGCAGTGTTCGGTATTTTATATTAGCATGTTTCTTGAGGGTAACTTTTATTGTATGTTTTCAGTGTGTACATGTTTGTTGTATACTTTAGTCTTTTGTATTAGCTGTTTTTCGCTTGCTCTGAGTGCCAGTTTTCTGTGTTTGTGTGAGTGTGTGTGTGTATGTGTGTTGTGTTGTATGATGAAAGTTTCATTTTACGTTCTATCTTGTATGAATGCATAGCGGTTTCTAATCTATTATTTAACCTTCCTGGTTTTCGCAGTTCGCAGTTCCTTCGTGCTTTACACAATAATTAATAAGTAATATGGTTTCACTGGTAACAATGGTTTCCGTAATAAGGGGATTTTACTTTGATTTTCGATTTCCATTTACGAAATATTAAACGTTCAGACACATTTACAAAGGTTATTTTGATTCGTCAAATACACGTGACTATTGAATTCTGGTTGTTTTGTTCGTAGATAGTACAAATATTTCGGCTTCTTTTAGGGGTCTGTTTGAAAAAAATGTGGGTTGCATAGATGCGAAAATGTGTTAAGTGGTGCATGATGCGTACGTATGTGAGAGTATGTGTGTTGTTTTTCCTGTGTATTAGTGTGTAGTTTTTTTTTTGCATTTATTACAGAGAGAACAGATGGCGGATGGTTTATGGTGCGAAAAAAAAAGTTCTTCATCGTCCTGACATTGAGATGATGAGAATTTTTTGTTAGTCAGTTTCATATACAAATATAATATTAGCTTTCCTAAATTTTTGGTTTCATATCGTTCCGTAAACGCACGTACAAGCTAAAAAAATGTAGCTTCTGGCATTGGAAAAAAATCCACGTCGAAAAACAAAACATACTTTTTGCATAAATACTTATTAGAAATTTTAAGTTACTTTAATAAAAAACGAGTCTCATAAACATTTCAAAATGAGTAAATTTCTCGTACTTTGTGTTAATTTTTACTTTCCTTTTTGTCTACGATAAAAACGGTTTGGATAAATAATTCGCCTAAAAATAAAGGATTTTTCTCGTCTCCTACTAAAATACGATAGCTTTAATTTAAAACAAAAAAAAGGAGGATCATTGTATCAGTTTTGGTCATTTTTATTTTTATTTCTAACCTAGTAAACGTTACCTTAGTCGAAATAAAAACAAGTGTTCCATTTGTGATGTGTCGGATAAAAAGTACTTTTCTTTATACCGTCATGCTCGTCTAAATAGTACGTGTACTTGCTCCAATGGAGGAAAAATGAAAGAAACTACCGTCCTTCGTTTAACTCGTCTGGCATTCAACTAAGCATTATTACAAACTATCCAAAACATGCTATCACCTAACGGGCGCGGTTTTACATGGGAAATTATGTCCATCCTGGACGATCTTTTACAATCTGTGAAAAACAGTTTAAAAGCATCCAGTTTCTTAGACAACTAAAATATTTGTAATATGAGAAGAAAAAGAAGAAGATAAAAGCATAGCTGAGAAACTCTGATATTTACAGTAAGAGGTTGAATATTTTTCAGTGCGTCCTCTCGATGCGCGCGACAGTAGGTACAGTCGCGAACTTTTTCCTTTTTACAATCAAAAGTGTCTTCTCACTTCCTTTTGTTTTCAAAGGACTGAATGGTAAAATACATTTATACGCGTTACACTTTTTCCGCTCATATCTACGTTTTCCACTTTTTTTCTTGTAAAATTAGCTAATAAAAATATTAATAAGAAGAACAACAATGAATCGATCAATTAAATGTATAAAAATATATATGTTATATACGTTTATTTTATGCACGACATTTTTCGGGTCAATTTTGTGTTGCTCAATACGAATATTTGTTGCGGTTGTTTTTCTTTTCAAATATAATTCTGAAATGGGAAATTCACTTACTTTTCCATTGTTTTACTCTTATGAATTACACCTATGATCGCTTGTTTTTTTTTCTCTATTTATAATATAGAAGGCATTTAATTTCAGACTTCCTAGTAGTGGAAAATAAAAATTTTCCTCGAATGTGAATCCATGCTATTGTGTGTTGTATTCGATTTGTTGTTTTGCAGCAATCATCGCGCAAGCATTTAGGCTCACGGCACCCGCAAGCAAATTCGAATTTAGAATAATCATTTTCTTTTTTTTTATCGCCAGGGCATCGATGCACAATGCATTCAGGTTTGGAGTGAAACTTTTTTGTTTATTACATAGGTATTTCCATTTACATATCAGTGACATAGATTTCTTCTGTGTATATGAGTGTGTGGGTGTATATGCAAAAATGTTCACTTTCTCTCTTTCTCTATTTACTTCAGCTTTGTATGTGTATATAATGCATTATAACTACTCTGTTAAAAATTGTTCACCTCTTTATTTTACGACACTTTCAACGCTCAACGAGAAATCGTAAAATAAGACAAAGAGTTAAGGGTAAAACAGTTCATATATAAAAAATGAAAACAAAACGAGAATCGACTCGATTTTGAAACAAATTAAAAACAAATAAAAATCTACTTTCATTATAAAAAAAAGGAAAAACAATCATTCCGATGCATCACTGGGGCTTATTAAAATAGTAGGCGGAAATCAGAATCACTCATCAGGTAACACTGTTTTGATGACGAAAATCGTCACAGAGCCACTGTTGCTGCGATTGGGAGAACTGGGCAGTGCATGCTGCGATTGCCGCGGTTGCAACTGAACAATTTGCTGTTGATGTTGTTGTTGTTGTTGCAAAGTCTGAATCGATTGTTGCGTTGCCATTGAAGACTGCGGCAACTGTTGCTGCGGGATGCGCCGCTGTTGTGCAGCAAACGGCGATGATAGCTGTACAACCTGCGTCAACGTTTGCTGCCGTTGCTGATTTGCGAAATCAATGTCGTGCTGCTGTTGCTGTTGTTGTTGTTGATGTTGTTGTTGTTCTTCTTCAGAAGTTAAATTCTGCTGCTGCTGCTGCTGCTGCTGCAGCTGTTGTTCGTACTGGAAAGGTTTGATCATCCCTTGCTCGATCATCTGCTACCTAATGTTGGCCGAGTTCAGAACAAACGGTACGTAGAACATTTTGCTTTCCAAAAGTAAGCTTGCAGCAGTTTGGATCTGGAAAAAGAGATTGAATTACATCATTTATTAGTCGACGTTATGATGGAGATGATTCGTTGAATGTGATGCTGATGGAAAACAGGTATCATGGAGCAAAATGCATACTCGGTCGTTTTGTTCATTAGTTGACCAATGATTTAACGTTCAGAATAAGAAGGGCTTAGCAGCGATGATTGATTCTCTTCATAGATTTTCTCTTTGCAGTATTACAGCTACTACAGCTTTTTTGGGTTTATATTACGTTCCCACTGGGACTTTAAGCAGGCTCTCAACTTAGCACTCTTTGAGCACTGCGAGCACTTGCTCAGTTGTTAATTGAGAGCTTTCTAAACCTGTACCATTTTTGCATTAGTATCCCAAGTAACATTTTAAGTTTTATGAAATACTACAAAGCAACTATAAAACAACATTAATAAAACTCTGGTCAAGGCTATTTTGTCATTAATGCATCCACCAAAACCTCATTAAGACTAGAATATGTCTAGTTGGTCCATCCTGGAGAAGGTTCTGAAGGGTGTATTCTCGAAGCTCTTCAAGATTGATTTACTGCAAAAAGTTGTATGACGAACGCATTGCGAACCATTTGAAAGCTACAACAAAAGCTATTTAGCAATAATAAAAACCCTTTCCAAGCCATTTCCCCTAGCTACTTGCTAAATCCACTAGTAAAGCATCAATCAAGATAGGAAAGGATTTATGAATCCGATCTTATCAAAATAATTAAAATAGAAACTGATGGTATAAAAATCTTGTTAAATATCCAACTTTATTACAACAGTTCTCATTAAGTGGCCTAGTTTTAAGTGCCTTATTAATTATGTTATGTGAAATCTACGTGAAAACATCGAAAAAAATAAGTCCGCCCTCGTAAAACGTTGATTTGACTAATTATTTTACATTAAAAAAAAGTTATTTTCAGATCGAGCTAGGCCGAGATTGTTTTTTTTTTATGATTTTCGCATTTAAATGTTTGCTTATTGTGAAAAAATTGTTTTGTTTTCAAAAAATCCTTAACAAATTCATAAGGTTTTAAAATGGCTTTTATGAAGAAAACTTGCAGGCTGAATTGTATTTATCTATAGCCATTTTGCTTGATCCTAACCCGTTCAGATTTATGGCAGCATTTATGGAGGCAAAGTTGCCTGCAAAAAGTTAAACGTCAAAGTTTGTTTATCTTTCGATATTTAGTTGCGCTGTGGGATCCAGTGTTCTTCCAGGCGGTTTTCTCCCGATGGATTGGGAGCAGTTACTCAGATTGTTTGTTTTGCAACATTTCGGATTTCGAACAGCTGGAAGCGCAATCGTTCCCGAAAAAGATCCCCTTCTTCCGGATGGTTACAGAAGTGCACCATCCAACGATGCAGGGATGTACGCTTGAATGCAATTTGCGAAGAGTTGATTCTTTCGCCGAATAAAATCGCTGCTATGGATCGGAAACCAGCTATTCTCCGGTAACTAACAGTTTCAGTGTTTTGCTGTCGGTTGTTATTTCGATTGTCATCTATACGCAAGATCTGGAGAAGACTTGTATATTTTTCAACTTTCGACAATGTTTTGTGAATTCGAGGGCCCGCTCACTTTACTCTTATCCGCCAGATGGTCAGTCGTTGATGGTGTGCTGGTTCTTCTAAAGAAGTAAATTTTGCTGAAATCGACTTGAATTATTCATCCTACTTCGTCTATCCTTCGAGATTTTCTTGTCATAAATTTGGCTTTTATTAACTATGAGGAACCATATTTTAAGCTCAAGTTGTAAACAAAGTTATTGGGAAGTTTATGATGCCCTTTAAAAAGCCTAAAAAGCAACAATAAATGCTTTTTGCTCTAATGCTAAACCTAATGATTCCTTTATAATGATAGAACACGTTTATAAACTATTTTATCAAGACACTAATAAACAATTGCTAATGACGTTTATGCAGAGCAGTTTGAAGGAGGAATTGAGAACTGCTTTAAATTTATTTTTAAAAAAGACAGTTTATGACTTTCTTGCCAGACTATAAAAGGTTTTTAAAACAGCAAAAAGCTGAATTACTATTCTGGAATGTTTTACACTTTGAAATGCTGTATTTATACTAAATGGATTGTTCATTGTCGTTATAAAACCATCATAAATCAGAGTGGATGCCAAATGGTTACTGAATTGTTACTCGGGATGTATTGTGTGGCAACTCAATTCTCATACTCTGTGCCCAGGTACGTCAAGAAACTTTGTAACCCGGAAAATTACTACAGTTAAGAGAACCAAAATTTCTCCCTGCCCTTTGGTTCAGTAAGGGTGTGGGCGCGTTCTGCCAATTTGGTCGAGGCAGATTTCAAGAATTTTCCGGTGACGAATGGTTGTTATGTGGAAACTCACTCTAAATGAATGATCTATACTTTGATCTTTTGTGTGAAAAGGTGCGTTCCATATTTCATCATATGGAAGTTCAAAAGCGCCTGAATGAAATATGACGCTTGCGCTGATCACTTGAAAATGTGGTATGACGGAACATTCTTACTGATAAAATGGTAATCAATGTTGTTCTTGATATTGGTTTTTGTAGAAAATGCGCGACAATTGCTCCTTGTCGCGTTAAATTGAGATTTTCCCTCATTCCACATCCGTTGAACCATACTGAATGGCCATTCCGTTGTGTTTTTATCACAATAAAGCTAACGGCGGAGTCATCGAAGAAAAGGCGCCAAGAAACAGTGCAGTAGCAAAATGGAACACATGCGATACGACAGTGGAGTGATCCTACAAAATTTATGGAAGATTGCTTCTGAAACGCTTGTCCGTCCAAGTCGGTCCTCTACCCGGTTACCAAATGGCTTTTCAGCAAAAAAGTGCTTCGGATCAAGTATTTGTGCTTCGTCGAATATTGGATGAACGATGGAGAAAAGGGAAGCAAACCATCCTGGTTTCACTTGATTTGAAACAGACATTTGATAAACTGAACATATCAAAAGCAGCCACCATTCTCGCCGAAATGGGTGTTTCAAAATCGTTAATCAACTAGATTATATCCGCATGCCTGCACGAGAAAACATCGCTCCAATGGTTTGGGTAGAGGACGGGTTCGATCAAAAAATGAGAGGGGCAAAGCAAGGATATCCTCTGAGCCCACAGCTGTTCATCCTGATGTTGCATCATGTCTTACAATCGGTCAACGAATTCATCCCGGAAATCAAATTTGCTCATGGATCGAGAATCGAATTACCGTGCATACTTGGATACGCGGATGATCTTATGTTCATTTGCGAAGAGGTTGAGGATGTGGAAAGGCTGATCGGTGTATTAGAGCCGCTATTGAATTCAATAGGACTGGAGATCAACACTGAGAAAACAAAGGTGTTATTCCGAGACCCCAGAGACACAAAAAACATAAGCCCAGAAACAACTGCCAAGTTCGGCAAGTATCAACTCCCGGTGGTTACTATTATGATATACTTGGGAGCATACTTGACCAGTAGTCTAACGAGAGGAGCTACATCTTCAGAACGTATAAAAAAGGCGTACAAAGCATATCATCATCTGTGTTCTTTCCTCAAGCAACACCCTCTTAAATGGAGCGTAGTAAGAAAACTTTGCCATTGTCTAATTACCCCAGTGGTGACGTACTACATGGAGGTTAGCACAATATTGAAGAGAAATCGTAACTCACTGCGGAGAATGGAACAAGAGATGCTACTGACTCTTCATAATTTGTGTCATGATGACACAGAAGTGCCTACGAGGAATGATACTGAGAATAAGCAGTCTAGCGATTCAGCAAACGACAACAATCATCATGAAGAGCGTCCACAAGAGAGTAGTAGAACTGTCCACATTGCCCCCGAGTGGCTGGGTGGATACACATAAACAACAAAATAAGAAAGCAAGGCTTAACTACTACGGGCATATCCTCAGGAGCGATCCAGGAGGAATTTCGAAAACGGCAATTAAGTACAGAATACCAGAACCCAAAAAATTGGAAAACCGCCATATACCTGGAAAACCTGTATTCGACAGGACGTGGAGAGGAGCGAAATTCCCATTGAAGTATGGCAGGATATCGCACAAGAAAGGAGCAAGTTCAAACAAACCACTAAAAACCTGTATAGTAGCATGGTGGAGTCGAAATTTGAGACAAGCAGCGACTCGGACTGGGAGAGTGATTCAGAAGACCTAGTTCCATCAGACTTCCTCGGATTTAGTGATGAGGACCCCATCATGAGAGGAACCGATTCTGATGACGAGGTCGGTCCGAGGCAACGACAATGACAACCCACGAAGCATCCCCAGTCAACAGATGATTCATCAATAACAACCCACGAAGCATCCCCAGTCGACCGATGATGATTCAGCAACACAAGTAAGCCCAGAATTCATAGGTAAGTTCACACAATCGTTATATTAACATGCTTTCCCAACATGTTCGAGTAGTGGCTTTATTGGATAGAGTAGTCTAAAAAAAAGTTAAGTGAACCAAAATTGGCAACTGGCAACTCTTACATTTTCTCATACAACCGGTATGAGACAGACACATGCCGCTCAAAGGTAAATGCTCCTATAGAATTGGATAGCAAAGATTCCATCCTCAGAAGAAAGGTTTGTGTATTTGCACATTTTTCTATGCGTTGCTTCCACCTTCACTCGAGCGCAGCGCTATGGTGTCTGTCACTTGGATTCAGGCAAAGTTTCGTGTCAGTCTGCTTGATATGTTGTCTTCGGTAAAAGCGAAGACATTACATCAAGATGACTGGCAACTTTGCCAGACTTCAAACGACAGACACAGTAGTGCTGCACTTGGGTGAAGGTGGAAACAACGCATAGAACATTAGCAAATACACAAACCTTTAATTTGAGGTTGTGATGTTTGATAACAAATTTGTTCAAAGCATTTACCTTTTAGCGAAATTTTGTTTTGCTGGATCTCAGTGAAAAACTTGCCGAGGTTCAGCTAACAAACGGGAATTTTGGCGATATCCCAGTAAAAATAAATGCCGAGCTGTTCGGCGGTGCCAATCTCGGC